ATATTAATAATTACTTTGCTCTAATATTGTAGTAATTATTGATATATGTACAGTTTTAATTACTACAATATTAGAGCAAAGTAATTATTAATATATGTACAGTTTTAATTACTACAATATTAGAGCAAAGTAATTATTAATATATGTACAGTTTTAATTACTACAATATTAGAGCAAAGTAATTATTAATATATGCACAGTTTTAATTACTACAAGAATAGAGCAAAGTAATTATTAATATATGTACAGTTTTAATTACTACAAGATTAGAGCAAAGTAATTATTAATATATGTACGGTTGTAATTACTACAAGATTAGATTAGATTAATTCTCACACTACTGGGGTAGGGTAAGAATTAATACGTCTAGAAGTTTAATTCTTAAGATTAGTGTAAGGATTGCCACCACATATTTAACAGCTTTAAATTTTCCAAACCATAACTGTCTAAGAAATATTTTTCAGCTGAGAGGATTCTGGTTACATAATACTTTTACTTGATAATATAGTAATAGTGCTGGGTAAAAATTGTATAGTTACGTAACTCTGTAGTAATGGTACTGGGTAGAAGTGATATCTTTATGTAACACAGTAGTAATAGTGCTGGGTAAAAATGGTATATTTACGTAACTCTGTAGTAATAGTACTGGGTAGAAGTGATATCTTTATGTAACACAGTAGTAATAGTGCTGGGTAAAAATGGTATATTTACGTAACTCTGTAGTAATGGTACTGGGTAGAAGTGATATCTTTATGTAACACAGTAGTAATAGTGCTGGGTAAAAATGGTTTATTTACATAACTCTGTTGTAATGGTACTGGGTAGAAGTGATATCTTTATATAACACAGTAGTAATAGTGCTGGGTAAAAATGGTATATTTACGTAACTCTGTTGTAATGGTACTGGGTAAAAGTGATATCTTTATGCAACACAGTAGTAATAGTGCTGGGTAAAAATGGTATATTTTTATGTGATAATGTAGTAATGTTGCCGAGTTGAAAAGCTGATTATAAATTGTTCATTAGAACTTCAGATGTTTGAATACCTGCTGCCTATGGTGTATAGTACGGTCTGTCTTTATTGATTTTGCTATTTACTTAACCAGTGATAAACGAAGAAACAATTCGGATAAAGATGTTCAGCCTTTCGAAAGAGACAATTTGATGTAAGACGTACCCAAACCACGAATTCCAGGCTGATGTAAGAAAGTAGAGCATCAACGTTCAGAACAGTCATATTTGATTTAAAATAGATCGAATATGCTTGAATGAACTCTGTGCTCTGTCTATCCTTAGGCGTCCCCCCAATTTTGACATAGTAAGGAAGTGCCCCTTTGAATGAGGAATAGATGCATGTTTATAATTACCATGGTTACGATTAACTTAGCAAATACGATACCACAATCGTTATCCCCCCCCCAATTCAAATATGTTCTGTCGCTGATCTATCGGTTTGTTTTTAACAAAAATCTTGCATGTTTTTTTCCTTCGCCTGGAAGAAGTAAGAATATAGATCTATTAACAGCTGTTGTTAAGTAACTGCCATGTTACGACACGTATCTATTAGCAGCTGCTGTTAAGTACCTACCATGTTACGACACGTATCTATTTGCCGCTGTTGTTAAGTAACTGCCATGTTACGACACGTATCTATTAACAGCTGTTGTTAAGTACCTACCATGTTACGACACGTATCTATTAGCAGCTGTTGTTAAGTAACTGCCATGTTACGACACGTATCTATTAGCAGCTGTTGTTAAGTAACTGCCATGTTACGACACGTATCTATTAGCAGCTGTTGTTAAATAACTGCCATGTTACGACACGTATCTATTAGCAGCTGTTGTTAAATAACTGCCATGTTACGACACGTATCTGTTAGCAGCTGTTGTTAAGTAACTACCATGTTACGACACGTATCTATTAGCAGCTGTTGTTAAATAACTGCCATGTTACGACACGTATCTGTTAGCAGCTGTTGTTAAATAACTGCCATGTTACGACACGTATCTATTAGCAGCTGTTGTTAAATAACTGCCATGTTACGACACGTATCTGTTAGCAGCTGTTGTTAAATAACTGCCATGTTACGACACGTATCTGTTAGCAGCTGTTGTTAAGTAACTACCATGTCACGACACGTATCTGTTAGCAGCTGTTGTTAAGTAACTACCATGCCACGACACGTATCTGTTAGCAGCTGTTGTTTAGTAACTACCATGTCACGACACGTATCTGTTAGCAGCTGTTGTTTAGTAACTACCATGTCACGTACACGTATCTAGTTAGCAGCTGTTGTTTAAGCTAACTACCATGTTACG